CAATTTTATCCTGCAAACATTATTTTACAGATGTTTTCTTTGCGTGTTGGGGAAGAGGGGCAGAGTGTTTGGCTAAGACTGACCTACATATATTTTCTTAAGTTGAAACAAATATCTGCATGTTCATATACTCTCTGTAAGAATTAAAATGAATGCATATATGGTCTAGTCACTGTGTAAATATTACTATTAATAGTAATAATAAATATAACAACAGTAACAGAAGTAATAGAAAAGGCAGCGTTTGCTACCTTGAGACCATTCCCCACAAGTAAGTTCATTTTATATAGACAGAAGTCAACTAATATTACCAACTTTGAATCATGGTTCTTGGGAGTTTCACAGTCATGTGGCTGTCTGCAAAATACTATTTTAAAAATACTATGAAAATATTGCATAAGAAATGCTTGGTCTTTCCATCCTAAATTTCCAGTATATTTTTATATCATTTTTCACATTTATAGATCTTTAACCTCCTCAAATTTGCACTGTACTTTGCACTTGGATTCTTCTCCTGTATTAGATTTTAATTTTCCTACAGTGACAATAACAACAATATCTTTTAAGAAATAATCCAAATATGGGTAACTTTTTAATGCCTAAAGGCTGCATTTGTCTTCTTTGTTTGATCATGAAGTCCAACAACAAATGTATAATAAGCAAATAAATAAATAAACAAGCAAATAAATACATCAGGGAGAAAATTTAAAAAATTATATAATCAAAAATGCTTAAAAATGTGACATTAGCCTGACCTTCCTTGTGAGACTACTAGAATTTGGGATTCTTCTGACCAATAACCCCAGAAATAGCAAATCCAGCGTTAAGATCTAATAATTGCAGTTCAGTTGGAAAAAGATGAAAAGAAATGAGAAAGGAAACACTTCCTGGAAAACAGAAGACATCTGGAGTTACAGCTGTTGAGATTTTTAAATACATAATCAAATGAAATCCAGAAGCTTGGCACAGATTATTTAAAAAAAAAAAACTAAACAAAACTGAACTCCCAACAATTTGTAGTGTAAGTTTAATACTATATAAACTTTTAAGGCAGAACATTTCTCCTTCCAAGGTACCTACAAAGGAAGTACCAGAAGTCAGAATAGTATACTGTAGTACTTCAGTATACTCTATAGCATTAATGTAGTACAGTATACTATTCTGACTTCTGGTACTTCCTTTGTAGGTAGATGATAGGTAGATAGGCAGATAGATCCTTCAAATCAGTCTTGATTATTCACCACTACATGGACAAGCCCATGCAGTTCTGTTTGCAATATTTTCAGAAATGGTCTGCTATTGTGAGATATAGTGAGATATTGATGTACCAAGCTCTGTGTGCCTTGCTGACTGCCCTACAAACTAGACTGCTGCTCCATGGAAAGAGTGAAAGACTCAGGGCCAAGATGTGACTGCCCAACATGTTACTGAAATATAGAATATTGAGCTATCATAGAGGGTGAGCAGATATTTCAAAAGAAAAACATGCTACTGCCTATGGTGCCCAATGGATCTCTCTTGTACACATACACACAACCACACACATATGCACACAAACATACCAACAATCTTCTTATTAATGACCTTGGGTCACTCACTACCCTTCATCCTCACCTACTCACTGAGCTATAATACAGATAAAAAATGGAGATCACATACATGATGTTTATTCCCTTGAACAAAGGCCAACAAAAAATAAAATATAGAGAGCAAACAGAGTTGTATTACATTATGCTATAAAAAGTTCAAAATATGTCTTGTAAAATTGCATCCTGCATTATATGGTGCCTTGCTGTAGGCACAGATTTACATGGCTTTGCACTAGAGGAACTCACTATCCCACTTGGTGATTTAGTTCACATTCACCCCTGCAAAATAAGCTAAATCCTGAAAACTGACATCATTACCTACATTACCTCTACCTCTTACAACATAGGGGAACAGTAAACAGGCACACTGTGTGGGCAAGCAAGCAGATATCTCAGCCAAGAGTTTAGCTAGGTTAAACCCTTGCAGGGAGTGGGTGAGCAAGAATGTGAAGACTGAGTGGGTAAGTAGCAGCATGTGCATTTTTCATGCTTGATGTCTTTCTTGGTTTTTCCATATGACAGAGAAACTTGCTGTGCTACTGCTCCCTCCATCTCTTTTTGCATAGTTGAATCAATCATGGTCAGGCATTCTGCAGAATCCTCTATGCCCAGCTGGCTCACCTTTTCTTTTTCTAAAGGGTTTGGTGGCTGCTTACCCTGACTACCCCTCCTCCCTGCACAGCTGACAATTGGAAGATGATGGCTAGTCTTTTGGCACAAAACTCCATGGACCACAGCTGACTCACACTGTGGCCAATTCTGTACAAAGGGTATTGGTGAGGGGAGGGGAGGGACTGCCTCCTGAGCCAGGTATATATAGCAATCAATTCTCTTCAATCAATGACTTCAATATTACAGTCCAAGAACAACAAGCAGCTTCATATCTCCCTTTGTAACCAATGCATTTTGGAAAAGAAAAAAGAAAAAAGAAAAAAAGAAAAAAGAAAAGAAAAGGTCCTGTGATAGAATATACTAGAGCAAAGTTGATGAGGTTGAGAAACACTGTACTAAGGGATTTCCTTATTATCCCTAGAATTAAATCTCTGTTCCAATCAACAATCATATTTGGGACCCTCAATCAGTTCTTAAGCTGTGGGTGATCAGAATAAACGGTATCACTTAGAAGCCAAACAAGGCTTTTTATTACTTTATAACTAAATGCACAAGAATTAATAATAAAACTTCCTTGCCAAAAAAAACATTTAGTATTCATGAGTTCAAAATGCATTTGTGCTTTGTTGTTCACATTACATGTTTCTATATTTGTATTCTGAACATTACCCACAAACGCACATGCTTTGTCAATGAAAAACAAATTCTATGCTATTCTAGGTATGGTGCTGGAAATGTTCTCAAAATCTCAATTTCCTATAATTACATACTGAATATTTTATGTAGGGTGCAACCTAATATTTCTGTAAAGCCTAGGAGGCATACAGAGCTATCTGGACAGGAGTAGTTGAGTGAGCTGTTTGCAAATATCATAGCATAATTACATAGAATACACAGTGCATTTAAAGAGCAGACAAATAGAAGGATAGACAACATAAGATGAGCAGCAGTTGTGGAACTTTATATGGACTCTAAACTCATATTAAGCAGTATCTACCTAATTTTAGTACTTCTACATTCATTGTTGTAACTTCTAGATTGAACTGAACTAATGACTGAAACCAGACATATCTAGTTATATAACAAACATGCAGGGATGGAATGTCTTCCCTGTCAGTTCCCATAGAAGGGTCAATTACAACTTCCAAATATCAAAGTTCAGACTTTTGTATGACTCTTACATCTATCTCAAAACTTTCAGTAATTTTTTAAAGAATACACCTGTATCCAATCGTGTCTATGACAGATTACACCCCCTGTTTCTTCTGGAGCAGTACTTCTTAGGATTCCAGTGAGACATCTATGCTGATTCAGGATAACACGTTCTACTATATTCTCCTTCTAAAAAGCCTCCCAGCTGAGCATGCTCAAGCCTTACTATGTGGTTTTTGTCACACTACCACTAAATTCTAAAATATGGGTTTTTCTGCAGATCTCCTTAAACTATTATCTTGTGCGTAGATAGTGCCCTTTTGGCTACATAAACATCTTCTCACAAAGAACTAAAGTTGTCATTAATACATATGATGGTCTGTGCACAGTTCATGCATGGACCTACTTTCTAGAGTCTAACCTTTTCTATGACAGGCTGTGAATGTTTTGAGGTTGTCATGAAAAAGAATAAAGTTTGTCCTGCTGCTAAATTAAACAATACAATTATCTTAGTATACAGCTAAGCATATAGAATGACAGCCTCTAGAAAAAATGCCAAGCAAGCATTATTTTTTCCTATTTCCCTTGAACTATATTGATAACGTTATAAAATGAGGCTAAACCACCAAAGTAAAATATAGAACAACAGAGCATTTGACTATATGCCACAACTTTTCCCAACCATCTATTTTTCCAGATTCATCATGCTGGTCATGACACAAATTATGTACGATTATGTAATTTTTTATTTAAAACATTTTATAAAAATTCAGGAATAGAGAGTCTGTGGCCCCAAGAGAACTGTCAGGAGTACATTAGTGCCTGTAGGAATTACCTTGCCTACTCCTGTTATAGTTGACAGGATTTTGTATACACCCTTTCATACAAATTAGTGATTTTCAGCAATAAAACAATGGTTCAGAAAATTTAGATTATGTGGGCATTGCTCTATTAGTAGGCTTAAGTGCCCAATGAAATAGCTGGTTAAGAGCTAATTAATCAGGGGTTTAAAAGGGGGGGGGGATTTCTGGATGGTAGGGATAAGGGCGATGCTCCTCCCTCTGCAAAAGCTGTATTTACATGACACACTTACCCATGGTTAACTTATCCGTATCTTTCAAAAATAAACCAAATTTCTACAACACATCAAGCCATAAACTAGCCGCAGGCTGGATTAAATAATACACTGCTGTAAAATGCAATCAGCTAGGTTGTGGCTCAAGTTGCTCTTGAACACAGCTAAAGTGTTGACACTGAAGTGATGGGACTTCCCAGCCCTTTTCCCTTTTACAACAATACAGCTGACAGCAAAGACTGAATCTAAGAGCTTCCCTCACCATCCTTCTATGAGGATGACAGTATGATGGCTGTAATCCCAATATATCCAGGGGTCATCTGGTTCAGGAGGGCTGTTTTATAGCATCTTAAAGCTGTATCAATGCTGGTAATGCACAAAAGCACTAAATAAGAAATGAACAGGTTTTGCAATAGTTTAGTGGCATTTTTTAATCTCTGCACTCCAGTAATGAGCTATTGGTGCCCATAAAGATAAATAATGGGATAGTAGGCAATTTCACTGCTATCAATGGAATAAAAAATAAAAACAAAAATGCAAGAAGCTAGACTAATGTTCAAGTAACCAATTACCTGATAATTTCATGAGAAGTTCAGATGCTGCTTTGACTGACATATCCTGCTGCAGAACATTTGCTGGCACTTCTTGTGGTTTGAGATTCTCCTTAGGAATACTTGGCGCAGATACTTCAGGTTCATGACTAAAACCATAACTGGTTTTGGACGACGTGGAACTTGCATTGTCCTCATCTTTCGGTTCATCTTTCACTTTAAATGTAGGCGTCAATGGTTCTTTTTGATTTGCAGCTGTTAGGAAAAGTGGGAAAAAGTGAAAGAAAATACAAAAATACAAAATCAGTTCACAAGAGAAAGGTAAACATGGGCAACCATTGGGGAAATCATATGCCAGGAAATCAAGTTGAGTAATTTAGGAGAGGCCTCAAATTTTGATATATTTCTGCAATATTTTTCAAGGCATAAAGTATTTTTTCCTAGTGTCCCTTTCTTTCTCTGACTCCCATAAACTAATCACATGGCTTTGGTTCCTGTGACAAACTAGGTTAAAACATGGTTTGCTAGGCTTGAGGGCAACAAAGAAATCAAAAATGTGTGGTTGGAAGTGACCATCCCAGATTATTTATTTATTTAATTCCTAAAGCCACCCATCTCGACCAAGTGACTCTGAGCGATGAACAATTCTAAATGTAAAATCCCAGATGTAAAATCCTAAGACTTTTGGCCTTTGAACTGACCCTTTATGGATGCAATGGAAAGACTGATCAATATAATTCTGTGTAGTCAAGGCTGAATTTATTGTTTTAAGCTGCTTTATAATACTATAGAATTCTATACATACATTGTGATATATCTTTATAGAGAGTGTGAAGTAACCCGTCTTATTTTGTTTTTTCTTATTCTCTTACTTTTTTTCTAATACCATTTTTAAAATTTTAAATGTGGTTGACTAGTTTATGATTCAGTCTGTCATGAAATATAGTATTAGAAACATGATAGAGCCAGGGAAGAGACAGACCTAAGAATAGAATCTTCTATGGTCCTTCCTTTCAAGGAGATCCAGTGGCTAATTGGATCTCCTTGAAAGGAATCTAAGGCAATTCTCTAATACTTGTAGAGGTTGGAAAAAGCTGCTTTAGAACCTGGGAGTGGTTCACTACCATGAAATTCATCCAATTTACAATTCTAAGAGCTGCTTACATATAGCACTCACACAAAAGACTGAAGATCCCCAACACTAACCACAATAATTCTAGATAAATAAAATAAAATAGAACTCCATACATGCTATTCCAATACAAAGATAGCACACTGAAATAATTTGCCAATTTTTCTTGTCATCCATTCCTGACATTATTCTTACAAAAATAATAAAAAGCCTTTCTACTCTTTCATCCAGGAGAACAAAAGCAACATTTTATGCTGATTGATAGCAATAAATATGTCTTAGACGTTACAGCTGAAATACTTTTAAAAGCATTTATGACTTCAGCTCATATGCTACTTTCCACAACATTTCTATTTCATAAATTAAAAGAGAGGTGTCCAGCTCACAAGAATCTTCAATATCAGCATTCAACTCAATCAAGTTAGTCTTATTACCCATACCTATAGCATGGAGATAACAGATGGATGCCTTTCAGCTGCCAATACTTAATACAGATTTTAATATACATTTATTGAAGAAAAAGCAGTATTTCAACATTTGGCATTTTAAAAAGTCATGGTCCTCACAGGATGGCTATGCCTGAAATTGCCTTCTGAGTCCCAATTACTCACAGAACTGACATACTACATACAGTATATCCCTTGGGGCAACAGCTATCAATGACCCATCTGTGGATTCCGCAAGCAATGACTTCAGGGTAGTATAACCAGGTTGTCCCATCTGACTTAGCCCTGGCATCCTTTCTTTTTTCATTTCTTTAATTACCCCAGCTATTTTGCTCATTTGCAGAGCAGCCTGCAATGCATTGATCTGGGCCAAAGCAAGCACTTTTCTGCAAAAAGCTGACAACAACTATCCTCAGGGTCTTTCTCTTGCCCATATTTTTGTTTGTTCATATTATAATAAATGGAAATGCCTTCTTTAAAACATTGCTAGTAAATCTTGCAAGTCCACTAAATAAAACAGTGTTTATGGGATGGATCTCTGTTAAGTATTGCCATGTTGGTCCAATGTATAATTCCATATGCTATTTTAGATACACATTATTCTGATCAATGGATTTAATTTCTTTCTTTAACATAACATCTTTCCCTTGTGAGGCATTGACACATCTACCAAGTTTAGATTTTCATCTAAGAGATATATCTCACTCCTTCAGTGACTTTATAACATGTTGCTAGGTAACAGTGCACACAAGTCAGGTTTGAGGACCTTTTTGTTAAAGACACTATAAAATAAATGCCTAGGTCCTCTTTGCATGAAAAATTCTCATCTGGGTCCTTAGTATTCCTGTCTGCTAAACACTACAGAACAGCTTGTCAATTTCTGAATTAAAAACAAGTATCAAGAGTGAAGATATACCCAGTTTTCAGTCCCTTTTTTTCTCTCACCCGACAAAACTTGGTTTTGCATCTATTTCAGGCTCTATTATTCATTTAATACATGTAAGGCACAACATAATGCCATATATTTAATTTAAATTATGGCATGTGTTTAAAACAATATACATCTAAAATATTGGGATAGTAGCACAAAGAAGTTACAAATTGATTATGGGTATAAACCTGGCTTTAAAAAAGATCAACATCCTAAGAGAAATCATTTCCTTTTCCCTCAAATCAGTATGCTTTAAAAGAGGAAAATATCAAAATATTCCTAATTCTCTCTCTATATATATTAGTTTTTCTCAAAGTAGTTTTCACTATGGAATTTACTCCTTGCAGGCATCTTTAAGACTGCACCTTGAAAAAGCTGGAAGAAAACATTTCATTAACTTCATCATTTTTAAGTTTCTCAGAACTGCATTCATTCAGTTTCTTTTATTCTCAGCTTTTCTTTACACCCTTCCATCCTATATTTATTCCACCCTGGAGTAAAAGGATTAAGAGCATATTGAAAGAATAAACCAAATTCCTATGTGTTCTTCCACTACCTCAAGTGTACTTAACAGTTACTGGGAAAAGGGCCTTTCTGTATGGTGAGGAATGCTTTCACTACAAAGATTAGCACAGCACCTACTCAGATGTCATTTTTCATGTCAGGCAAATACTTTTGTAAGTTCTTACATACTGTGAATCAATTTAAGCTGTTTCATCTTGGCTAGTTGTTTCTATTGTGCATTTTCTGTTTTTATTGTATTTTTGAAATGCTTTAAGCTACCCAAAGGATTTCAAATGATCAGACTATAAACACAGGGCAGAACAATCTTAACAAGGCAAGGAAGGGGGAAAACATTGGCCTCTTCAGCAGAGCAAATGGGAGAAAGCTGTCCCCAGGGAAGGAGCTAAAGAATGCATTTACCCATGTTTAGGAGTATGCCATGGAAGTAGAAGAGCATTAGATACTATGGATCAAAAATTTCCTTAAATCTACCCTGGAATGTCCCATTTTTGCTATCACTGCTCAGAGCACTGCAAAGTTTTCTTCATTGGCCATAAGAAGACTCATAAAGATGTATTTTTTCTTCTTATCACTTATCACAGCTACATTATTCCATGCTGTAGCTCCCTGGGAATCTGTTCTCACCCTCAGAACATAAAGCTGTGTTCTAAAATGAATTAATACATATAAAACATCAACGAAGAATTACCAAGCAAAGCGTTGTATACATTCTGCTGATCCTCCATTTAGCGCTGACATTTACTGAGATGCAACCCACATAGGTGATCAATTAATCTCCATTGAAAAGGGCACTGTCAATCTCCAAAAGGCTGAAGAGCTACAGAGCACACTTACTATATACCTTTTCTCTACAGCAGGTTCTACAAATTCTTCAGCCTCAGACACAGTAAAGTAGCTGCCAGATTTTTATTTTTTTCTTTCTTTAAGAAATGGATTTTGAGTGAGGAAATAGAAAAACCCTGACTATGGGGGCATGGAGAAGACTATAGATTTTTTTAAAGGAACATAAATGGTTAAGTGAACATTTTGAATGTGTCAAGAAACAATGTATGCACCTTACTAAGTAATAACATTCTAATGATAGATATACAGTAGGCCATTGGTGACACCCTGACAAATTGGATGCACGTGTCAGTGATTTATCTGGCTGTAACTTCATGATTCACCCAAGACTTTTAGGCATAAGTATTGCTGTGTTCTTATAAAAATGGAGAGTAAAATTATTTGTTTTAAAAAATGCTCAGATTCAAAAACTAGAATCTATCCACTGATTTATTTCCAAAGCAATATTATAGAGCAACCTGAGTCTAAGTGGCCAGTATGACTAGAAGGTGCCTGAACCCAGTTGAAACTACTGTAGTAGTAGTAGTAGTTGTACTACTGTACATCATAACCTCAATAATTTCTGCAAACAGGTTCATTGGGAGATTAGGATTTTTTTTTTCTTTTTAGAGCTGCTTCAACCTGGACCAAGTCTGTGCTCCCATTATAATGTGTCCCTGTTGTAAAGAGAATTTGGAACAGATAAAGGTGAATGAAAGCTTAGGCAACTAGTTCCAGAAGTGAATTAGTTCAACTTTCAATGCAGAGGTAGCACTACAGCAACAGTGTTGCAGTGTTTCCTTTGGAGCTGCAGGATGAAGTAGCTTCCTACTGGCAGGAACTCTTGTTTTATCCTGTTTCTGGGTTGTCCCATCATGTGCCTTGGCTTCTTCCTCCTATCCTTCCTTGCCAGAGGAGCAACTTTGCTACACGATTCCTTAAAAAAAAAAAAAACTGAAATATTTTTAGTTAAAAGTGAATGGGGGTGACAGCTGAGATTCATTGTTAAAAAACAGAATAGGGACACAAGAACACTCTTATCACTTCAGGAGAAGAGCGAGTAAGCTGCAGTTCACTTCTGAATCACCAAATATCTAAAATGCTTAAGTAAAGCAGTTTGCATAAATTCCTACATGAAACTGCCCTACTTGTTCTTCTTGGAGTAATACCAAGATTTGAATTCAGCTATTCTCTGAATTTTGTACTTCTTCAAATGTTATGATAAAATCCTTGGCAATATAAGCATAAGTGCTTTTAGATACAGTCCACATGGGTAGGGAACCTTTTGGGCACAAAGTGTCTACCATGGTGCATAGCTACCAAAATAGTTGCGTTAGCTGGTAGGATCAATCAAAAACATCCATTTACCAAGCAAACTAGACTCCTAGGATGACCTCCCCAGCGCTGTGGGATGCTGGTGGCATCCAAGGGCAATCCTGCAAAGAATTATGCATTATTTTGAGAGAAAATAGCACTTAAAATGTCTGGAAATATCTATTCATATCCTGAAGAAACTATTTTTTCATGGAATAAAATGAAATTATGAGAAAAAACATGGGAAAATGGCCCAACCTAGAGAAGAAAAAGGTTTGTTTATCCCTACCTGAGAGCTTCATGAGAAAATCTGATGCCATCTTGACTGAGATATCCTGGCTGAAAAGTGCTGATGCTGTATTGGTCACAAAGTCAATGGAGTCTTTTAGCTTTGTGCTGTTGGCAATTCTGTCAACAACATTGAGGGCAAAAGAGGGGCTAGGGGCACTGCTGTCATCTTTGGGTTCTTCTTTGACTAGCAGAGGTGGGATGGCAGTTCCCATCTGTCCAAGTGCATCAGGAGATCTAGAGGCAGCAGTAGTCCCTACATGGTCTGTTCCTCCATCCACCTCCTGCCCCATTCTGGAATTGTCACTGAGTAGTGGTGAGACCTTGACATCCATTTCTGGGATCTCTTCCTTCACTTTGGCTTCTGTCCTCAGGAAGTGTTGATGGCAACGCATGTGGAGTTTGAGACTGAAATGGCGAGAGGAAGTAAATGGGCACAGCTGGCACTGAAATGTCTCTCCCCGGTCCTGGTGCTGGTGAACCTAATTCAGTAACAACAACAACAATGATAATAGCACATCTTTCAGATAAATACAAATCCCTTGTTAAGATCATGAAGATCTACAAATGAACTGCATAGAATCTTATGAGACTGAGAGAAAGTAGGAAGAGAGTTAGTAGAAGAGACGAAGATTCAGTAAACTGGTACTCTAATACATTCTGTATTACAATTCTCATAAGACCTAATTGGCAAAGTCAATGATAAGTGATTATGTGAGTTGTCATCAAAGACATCTATAGGGCACCAGGCTAGTTACCATTTGCTGATTTATCACCTCTCTTCCTGCCCTGATTTTTGTTTCCTACAACATTCTGTACATTTCATTTGCAGATTTCAATGATTTTAACAAGGAAAATCAGCATATAGAGCTCAAAATGTCTTTCCTGCTATATTCAAGAATTTAATGATGAATATTTGGCTATATGAACATTTGTCCAGGGGTCATTGGCTAAAAGTCATGAAATTATTCAACACCAGGCTACAAAGCTCACTGATTCTCAGGTTATGTCCAAAAACAAGAATTTCCTAGAATGTTTATGTGTGTGTACAGACACACACACACATATTTAAATACAAATTACTGGATGATGGCTCAGAATTAACAAGTATTTTTCAAAGAAAGAAGTAGGGAGGTCACTACTTCTATGGTTATAATATCACCATAGAAGTTGGAAAGGCAATTTAGACACCAAGTCCACTCCCTCGCTCAGTGTAAAATCCAAATTCAAACATTCTTGACAAACATCTATCTAGCCTTTGCTTGAAGAAATCCAACTGAGTGGAGCCCAACACCTCTCAATTCCTCTGCTGGACAAAATGAATTTATAGCAAATATATTAATAATAAAAATGTATACTGCGTTTTATTAAGAGTCACTTTAAAATCCTCAACAGCAACTTTACAGACTAGATTTCTTGAATGCCAGAATTTACCAGTCTTACCTTCATATGTGATTTCAGATTGTCCTTACGTGCACAACGAAATGGACATAAAGGACACTGATGACTTTTTAAGCCTGTATGGATCACCATGTGTCGCTTCCAGTAGCTCTTCCTTTTTATAACCAAGCCACAGATTGGACATTGGAAAGGTTTTCCACTTTCTTCTTCTGAGGCTTAGAAAAAGAAAGAAAGGAGGGAAAGAATTAATTCATGAATTTACTTCCATTTTAATGGAATAGTTTTTCAACTTTAGAATTCCTTTTGCAGAAATACTCCCCTGAGTATTTTTCTGTAAAATTTTCAGGTACCTTTGGGTACAGAACTTTGTACATATTATAACCTTCTAAATCTTATTAAATTCAATGGACCTTAAATCCATATTTTTCTGGCATGGGAATCAATGGTCCAAACAAACAGAATACTGAATGATATAGGACAGGGCCCAATCATACTTCAGACAACCAGCAGAGGATGCTACTGTTCTTTACCTAATCTTATAATTCACAGCTAATTTGTCAGCTCTTGATCTATGTAACATGACAAAAGTGCTCCTTTTTCAACAATAAAATAAAATTAAGTACACAGTAACCCACAGTTCCTGACTAAAAGTTAGAGTAGGGTTAGGAGTGTGATATATTCCATTCCCAATACTGAGAGATTCCAAAGTCACTCTTGATGACTAGTTTCATTCTGGAGAATCTGAGACCAATTCCATTTCAGATAAAGAGATATCTCTTTGGAGACAGTATTTAGTTTTTCTTCAACTCAGTTATGTCAGTGCATTCATGATACAAAACTTAACTTGAGCCAAAGGCAACACAACACACCCCAAGAATCTGCTCTCTTTGTGTGCAGATAAATATAAATAATTTATTTTAGGGTAACTTAAGCAAGCTAAATTTAGCATCCCTAGCTAAAGAGGAATATATAAATTGCTGCTCTTCTTTCATGAACAATGATGGTAGGAATGTCAAACTAAGGTTTTCTATCAGAGGAAATCTTCCTCCTCCTGCCCTCCCTTCTTCTAAATGAACACTTTATTGGTCTATTGAAAATATAAAATAGAATCCTGCAAGCTGGCCCTCATCTAGTAGAGCAAACGATTCCCTTCAGCTAAGTTAAGAATTCATTTTTACATTTCAATGTTACAAGGGCTCACCTTGTACATTAGTTTCTGCAACAATGCTTACAGTGTCAAGCATTATCCCTGAATGTTGTTCTTTGTACTTCCTGGATAACTAAAAAGTAAAGTTCTTTTGAACATATTCCAAGAAAACTAACATTAAAGTGTTTCACTGTAGTTTATTACAAAACGCAACTGGAAATTTTATTTTATTTTATTTTTTCCATCTCACATGCAAAGGCAGAAGGAAAACCATGATCTGCCTTTTCTTCTAGGCCAGTAGGTAAAGTATTGTTATTTCCAACCGCGGTTGTGCCCAATACATCACAAATGGATTGAATTAATTAGCATGTAATGCTAATCTAGAGTGCAGCGTAATCAAGAAAAGCCGTAACACCTAACTGCTCGTACTTAACTGCAAACTCTAATGTGATCTGTTTTTGACTTAGCATGATGTGTGAAGCCACCCACTATGGCACAGTAATGAGAATGCCAATATATAAAATCACTGATCTCTAATATGATCACCATGAACATGTCAAAATTACATGGGATGTTCAGCATTCTTGCTCTGAGTTGTCATAAAATTTGGAGGTGAGTTTGCTGTAAGATTGTCTCAACTCTCAGGGGGACACTGTGCCATTATGCAATATTGTAACATAGCATCTGGGGCCAGAAAGAGTTGTTGATCCATGCATCAAACAATTAGCCATTCAAGTGGGCATCTTCAAATTACATGAAACAAAATAAAAAAAACAGAAGAAAAAGTTTCCAAACTCCTGTTTCAGCAGTTTGATTCGTTTATGACAATAATAATTTATTTCAAATTTGATTTATTACAAATAGAATCTATCTATTAAATGTTGTTGTTCTATATGAGGCGATTAGATACTGTTGCTGAAAATATTATCAAGGCAAGGGATAGTTCTGGAACTAGATGAAAAAGTGTGATAAGTTTAGGAGATAATCATCAGGTTAAGTCTTGACAACTAAAGAGAAGAGAGGATTCTGCCCACTGCATTGACATAATTAACCATCTGACATTACACTGCACATTTCTAGTCCTGTTATGTTTAAGTTTACAATGTTACTGTAGCAACAGAAAATATTTCTGTGACTGCTGAAAGGATATCTGATTATTTTCAAAACTACCAAAATCAGTGGCATACTTCCAGAATATTAAAACCCAATGCCTAATGCATTTATCAGCTGTTTTCCTTATTTTAAGAAATGAAATGTTAATAGTTCTAGTATTTTGGAATCGAGTGATAAAACCTGCATGTTCTTGTAATTTCCTGCATATGCTACCTTATAAAGGATGCCGATATGATCTACCTGAACCTTACTGCATTTTGCTGAATGTAATTATGGAGTTTCCATAATTGCTCCTTTTAGATCTACATGAGTGAAGGTCCTCAAGGTTTATACGACTGTCATCCTCTTCTAGCTAACTTTAATGTAGCTGTGTGGGCAAATGTCTGCATATGATAACACCAAAGCACATCTGCCTATGCTGAAGGGCTTGAAACTTACATTTGAAAAAACTGATCACAGTAGTGAAATCTGACTTAGCATCCAATATAATGCACATCCATGGGCGTCTGCTGCGAAACAAGATTGTTGTTAAAATGATGTCATGATGCAAATTCCATCCTTATGTACTTCCAGTCAGAGGTGTGATGCAAGTATGTTAACTGGCATCAATTTAAATGTTGAAATATTATTTAACACATTCCACTTCTTCTCCAGAAGGTCAAGGCAGCATACATGGGGATCCCTTCTTCTTATTTTATCCCAAAACAATCCTGTATGGTAGGCTGAGCTAAAATAGAATGATTGGTCCAAGACAAGCAGTAAACTCATGGCTGAATGGAAACCTTAAGCTGAATTCTAATTGCTGGGAACACCTATTAAAAGCATAGATTTGTAGTTTTTATTTTTATTTATTTATTCATCATATTTATATAGCTGCCCATCTCACACAAAGTGACTCTGGGTGGTATACAAACAACAGTTG